TTAGTACCAGCTTTCAGGGTGTTATGAAAATTAAATCACATAATGTGTTATGCCCAGCAAAGTGCTCTGTATCATTCTCTTGAGCACAAAGTACCTGCTTAATAAACATTGCATTAGTACATGTGTACATGTTGTTTTTTAAATAGACTTATTCTGACATTGTTGCCTTCAGTTCCTCTGTAAACTTTAAAGAGCCAGCAAAGAATATAAAACTTTAGGATGGAGATGGGTTGTCGCTATTTGTATCAGAAGTATTTGGTTGTGACAAGAGTGCTGAGTGTAAAGGACCCTGTGTTGTGCCTGCTTCACTAACTAATGCTAATAATGAGCCAAGGGGAAGCAACATCAGCATTGACAGGGGGCTTGTTTAAAACACCCATTCATGGACCCTTTTCAAACCTGCAGAATCACATTACATAAAGTGGAGCCAAAATTACCAAGTGATTCATAAGCTCGTTAGAGCTTGAGAGGCAGTGCTTATCTTGGTGGTGATCAGCCCAGGCTTCTCATTAGGATCACATGGCCAATTTGCAGAAATCTCTTGTTTCCTCCCCACAGCTTCTGTTTATTGTTGTGTGTGGAAGCATCCATGTTATTTTAGTGAAGGGCCTCATGTGACTCTTAAGGTGAGACCAGAATCAGGTATGAGGGCTTCAAAATACATTCATGAGAGTCAAGTTCTACCTTTGCACTAAAGGGTGGTCACAAGGGCAGTTCTGTTTGGGTTTGGTACAGACAGGTCAGTGTGGCCCATAATTCCATTACTGGAAATTGCTGGTGTCTGTGGCAGGGAGAGCACGTGAGGACAGGAAAGGAGAAACTTATATTTCTGTCTTTGTGGAGCAGTTCATTGTTCCCTGAATCTCTTCTGTTTCAAAGGATGGAAATAGGTGGGCTTTTTCTGTCTTTTTCTGCCAGTTGATGTCATGCCAGCAGGTAATCATGTGGTACTAACACCTTTTGCCGAGACCAAGTTGGTCTGGGAGACCCTAACCCAGGGTCGCTAGAGGAATTAAAGACACACACACAGAAATATAGAGGTGTAAAGTGGGAAATCAGGGGTCTCACAGCCTTCAGAGCTGAGAGCCCAAAACAGAGATTTACCCACATATTTATTAACAGCAAACCAGTCATTAGCATTGTTTCTATAGACATTAAATTAACTAAAAGTATCCCTTAAGGGAAACAAAGGGATGGGCTGAATTAATTGCAGCGGAAACACGCCCTTAAGACACAGATGGCTCAGGCTTCTGTTTGTGGCCTAAGAATGCCTTTAAGGCTGGGCTCGGTGGCTCAAGCCTGTAATCCCAGCACTTTGGGAGGCCAAGACAGGCGGATCACGAGGTCAGGAGATCGAGACCATCCTGGGTAACACGGTGAAACCCCGTCTCTACTAAAAAAAAAATACAAAAAGCTAGCCGGGCGAGGTGGCGGGCGCCTGTAGTCCCAGCCACTGGGGAGGCTGAGGCAGGAGAATGGCGTGAACCCGGGAGGCGGGGCTTGCAGTGAGCTGAGATCCGGCCACTGCACTCCAGCCTGGGCGACAGAGCGAGACTCTGTCTCAAAAAAAAAAAAAAAAAATGCCTTTAAGCAGTTTTCCGCCCTGGGCAGGCCAGGTGTTCCTTGCCCTCATTCCTGTAAACCCACAACCTTCCAGCTTGGGCGTTATGACCATTATGGACATGTTACAGTGCTGCAGAGGTTTTGTTTATGGCCACATTTTGTTTATGACTTGCTCCCAACACCTTTAAAGGCATGTTCTCAAGATGCAGGTTAATTTTTCCAGAGAATCTCATCTGAGAAGGAATTCTATTTGATTTCAAGTTTTAAATTGATCTGGTATTAATTACAGGGCTCCAATTGCATCTAAATAGATGTGAGAGTTGAAAGACCTGTAAGGGGCTTCTCTCGCTTTACAATGTCTTATTATTTATTTATTTATTTATCCTCTGGTTGATGAAATGCCAAGGTGAAAGGGATAGCCAAATGGACTAAAGCACAAGTGCCACTCTAGTTATTCGGCAGAGTGCCCATTAAAGGTCCACTACAATACCACCACATATCGCTCAGGGATGAACAAGGGCTGACTGATTTATAAGCTCTTGAAAATTCTTAAGCTCACTGCATCCTTTCAGGTCTCCAAGGAATGCTAAGTTTTCTCACTGCAGTGAGAGACAGGAAGTGAATTTAGTGTCTGGAAGCTGGATGGCCGTCAGGGGCTGACCACAGGGACATGGAGATACAGCAGAGAGAACCTGGCACGACTTATTACTCCAGACTGTAGAATCCTGGAAAAGAGCTACCATGTAGCCCATGCCTGGTTGACTGGAGGACCACCTTAGTGGAAGGGGGACAGTCAGGGCCTCTGGCCTGCCGTGTGCACGAGCATAACAATTGCTTTTGTTTAATGTGCAGATGGAATATTTGATCCATTTCAACCAGGCATTTGCATCTTGGTATGTTGTCATAATTGTCAAAGTTTGTTTTAAGTCTTTAACTTCCATGATCCTCTAGTAAAATGAATGTTTTATCACCTATTTTTATTAGTTTTTAGCCCAAAAAAGCTAAACACCATTTTATATTTAATAATGCTTTTTGTATGATTTTTATACCAGATAAGCTAAATTTTACCTTTATATTAATATGTTATTAATGTTAAATTTAATTTTAATAAAACCTTGTAGATATATTTATCCAATTTTTAATGTTTGACCACAAGGTAAGATTTTATAGACTCTTTTTAACCTTTTATAATTTTTGTCAGAGCAGGTTGATGCTTTAAGAAAAACCTGTTGCATTTTTACTTTAATGTCCAGTTCACAGAAAAATTGGATGATACCTTTTTAACTTTAGCTAATATGTTTATACACAGAATTTTCTTTACAATTAACGTTTTAAAACTTGCTTAAACTTTTAAAGCAATAATTTTTTTAACCTTTTAATGTAGGTAGAAATCCACATTTTTATGCCTACTTATAATCTTTTTACCACAGGTATATTTTACTTTTTTAATACACCTTGCACATAAACCGTTTCTTCAGTAGTACTCACGAGGCCTTATTACTTTTAAATTATACAACTTTTTTGCATAAATTTTTTTTATAACTTTTTTTTCTTTTACGACTTTTGCAGACAATTTTTTTTTTTCTGTCACCCAGGCTGGAGCGCGGTGGCGAGATGGCTCACTGCAAGCTCCACATCCCGGGTTCACACCATTCTCCTGCGTCAGCTTCCCGGGTAGCTGGGACTACAGGCGCCTGCCACCACGCCTGGCTAATTTTTTGTATTTTTAGTAGAGATGGGGTTACTATGTTAACCAGGATGGTCTCGATCTCCTGACCTCGTGATCCGCCCACCTCAGCCTCCCAAAGTGCTGGGATTACAGGCGTGAGCCACCGCACCCAGCCGTAGACAATTTTTTGACACGTCTCAACTTTCTGACTTATTACATACATTTTTTTCTTTAAACAACCGGTAATTTATTTCAGGACAAGAATTTACCATATAAAATTCTTTTATATAAACCCTGCCTCCCCCCTTTTTTCCCTTTCTTGGAATTTTTTTTAACATAGTTCCTAGTGGGGTGGGCTTATTTGTGCCTGACCCATGCTTCTTCGAGACAATACACCACGCTCACACCACACGCACACCAGAAAGCAAAAAACAGGTAAAAAGGGCACATACACATTTCTGCAGTTTACACCAAACAAAAATCAAAACCAAAATCAGAGTATCCAGAAACCCAAGCCAGGTCAAAACCGAAATGAAAGTATCAAGCAATCCAAGTCAAGTTAAAAACAAAAACCAAAGTGCCGGTACAGGCCCACCGTGGATGATCAGGCTAAGTTTCTACTCAAATGGAGAAGGCACCAAAGTGCCAATAAAGGCACGCCATGGGTGATCAGGCCACGCTTCCACTCAAATGAAGTGGGCAAGTTCCAAAGACTAGTCTTCCCAAGTTTAAGATGTCCGGACTCCAAGTGCCAGTTCTTTCCCAGTGTTCAGCCACTGTGTCAATCCTCTGCTCTGGGGAGGCATTCCACTGGGGCAATTGCCTACCTGGGAGCGCTCTTTGGATGGCCTCACTCAGTCTGGCCAGAGTCCCCCACAGGGATGCTCCAAGGGCAGTCCTAAGCCTCCTAAGGGGCTGCCTCGGCCAGTGATTGATTTGAGCGACCAGGGGTACGTGACAGGGGCTGCATGCACCGGTGGTCAGAGTGAAACAGAACAGGGCAGGAAGTTTCACAGTGTTCTTCTATACAATGTCTGGAATCTATGAATAACATCAGTTTCTAAGTTATGAGTTAATTTTTAACTATTGGGTTTAGGCCAGGCAGGCCCAGGCCTGGTTTCAGGCCTGGTGCCGGGCTGCCTGCCTTTGGTTTTACTTCTTTGCTTTTTCTTAAAACAGGTACTGAGTATAAAACAATATAAAACAATATGAGAGGGTCTGTCTCTTTGCTCAAGTGTACATATTAAAGTTTGATAGGTGCCTTCTAACTCAACATGTCTTTTCCATCTGAAAAACATTCATAGCTGATTCTGTATGATGTAAATATAGCACTCAAAAATGTACATGTTCATGTTCATGCCCTTAATTTTATACTTTTTTATCTAGAAAAAATATCATATATGAACTAATGTTGTGGGTCTTAGGATGCCCTTTTTTCTCAGAGTTGGAGAATATAATAGAGAATATTTTTGTGTTGAAAATTATTTTATTGCAGAATTTTAGTCCGTCCTATAAGTAAGAACCAGTTCTTTTTACTCTCCCATTTCACCTTAAGTCAAATTAAAAATTCCGCCAATGGCGACTTGGTAAAAACGTGTGTGTGTGTTTTTCAGGAACCATTGCAATTCAGAGATGTGGCCATAGAATTCTCTCTGGAGGAGTGGCATTGCCTGGACACTGCACAGCAAAATTTATACAGGGATGTGATGTTAGAGAACTACAGAAACCTGGTCTTCGTTGGTGAGGATAACTTAAATAAAAAAAAAACCCTAAAAGTTTTATTTCTCTTTTTTGTGGAATGAATTTAGTACTTTATTCCTTGCATAAAAAAGTTTCAGATGCCCTTTTTCCAGAAAATCTTCAGAATTTTTTTATTTAGAAAAGAATTTCTTCAAGATGTTTCATCTTAATCCAAACTTTCCACATTGCTGAGCTGAGCTTTATTCTTCACTCTAAATTAGTGGTAATTTCAGAATTTTAGTGGCTTAAAACATTGTTGCCCCCACCTGAAAATCTCATTGCCACCACCAATTTTTGATCGAGTAGTACCAGCTAGTAAATTTAAAAAGCCTACATGCAGGGCCGGGCGCAGTGGCTCATGCCTGTAATTCTAGCACTTTGGGAGGCTGAGGCGGGCAGATCACCTGAGGTCGGGAGTTTGAGACCAGCCTGACTAACATGTAGAAACTCCATCTCTACTAAAAATACAAAATTAGTCGGTCATGGTGGCATAGTCCTGTAATCCCAGCTACTCTGGAGGCTGAGGCAGGAGATTCCCCTGAACTCAGGAGGCAGAGATTTTGGTCAGTCGAGGTTGAGACATTGCACGCTAGCCTGGGCAACAAGGGCAAATACCACTGTAATTTTGATAGGAAGTTTATTGAATCTATAGATCACTTTGGATAATATGGCAATTTAAAAATCTATTTGGATCTTCTCTAATTTTCTCAGTTTTTTTTTAAAGGTTTTTTAGCTTAGTAATTTTTTTCTAAGAAATTTATTTAATGCTATAGTAAATGAGACTTTTTCCTTTCTCTAAGACTTTATGATCTACAAACAGAAACTTTTTACTTATTTTACTCCATCTCCAAAATTAAAAGAAACCTACAAGTTGAAAGTATTTTCTAAATATTTAGAAATTTGTTATAAATAATTATTTTGGTATGAATTTACTAGAATATTTTATTACATGCTTTCTGCTGAGCACATTACTAGCTTGTAATTGGAGAATATAAGCAAGATTCATGCTATCTATTTTTAATGAAACAGGTATTATTGGGCCGGGCGCGGTGGCTCACACCTGTAATCCTAGCACTTTGGGAGGCCGAGACGGGCGGATCACGAGGTCAGGAGATCGAGACCATCCTGGCTAACACA